AACTTCAACATTTTAGAAGAGTTCTCCTAGTCTGATCATTGGAAATTGATCTAGTGAAGGTGTTTTTCCCATCATAAACTCTCTTGATACTTGATACATTGATGGGCGAGAATGAGGATTTTGAATCAAACAAGCAAATGCCAATCTTGCAATCAAGATCACATCCCCAAAGACTGAGTTCACTTGTTGAGAAGGTCTTCGGTCTAACACATCACTTAATAGCAAATTATAAGTCATTGATGCTGTTGATGATGACAACAATGAAGAAATGAGATTTCCTGGATGCTTTCCCATAAGAATTTCCAAAGAAAGTACTCCAAAACTATAAACGTCACATTTTTCATTCACTTCTAAAGTTTGAGCAAGCTCTGCAATGAGTTAAAACCTTGAAAGGATTAATATGCATTAAATATTGTAGAGTTTAACGATAAAGCAAGTGTAACAGTTCATATTTTATAAATAGATATTGTTATTTGTACATAACTTTTTCACATTACTTTTTTTTTTTTGCACATGATTTAGTCTAATTCCTGCATTATTCCTGCATAAAAACCAATCCATAGGCATAACTCTTTAATGATAAATATTTTTTCCATCCATTGTTTCTTACACTATCCCATACACCTCACTTTTTGTAGTTAAAAAAAGCAAGAAATTCAATCTTCCTTCTTTTTAATATACGGTGCGAGAGTGTAATTAAAAGAGATGTGAAAATATGCATGTTAAATTTCAATACAAAAGAATAGCATAACCATTTTTGTTTTTAATACACAAGGGAAAGGGCCTAACCTGGAGCAACATAACCAAAGGTTCCTCCAAATGGGGTCCAACTGTGTGAACCAGGCTTCAGAAACTTTGCCATCCCAAAGTCAGAAACATGAGCTTCATATTCAGAATCTAGAAGAACATTCTTGCTTGATATGTCACAATGAACAATAGGAGGTGAGCAATCATGATGCATGTAAGATAAAGCATTGGCCACACCTTTAACAACATTCACTCTCTTTTTCCAATCAAATGCAATTGCTTGTGTCTCATTGTTCAGTGTTTGATACAAGCTACCACCTTCCAAGAACTTATAGACCAAAAAAGAGAATTGTGAATGTGAACAAAATCCGTAAAGTTTTACAATATTACGATGTTTGATTTCTGTCAAGGCTCTAATTTCACTTGTAAAAGCTTTTAAACTAGCCATTTCCTCATCTGTTGCTGAATGAAGTTTCTTCACCGCAGCAACTAGACCTGGCAACTCAACTTTGTAAACATATCCTTGCCCTCCCACTCCCACTAGATATTTGTTGTTAAAATTCTCTGTAGCTTCAATGATATTTTCATAAATTATTTTTCCATCATAACTCCATATTGAAAAGAGTTCTTCAATTTGTGGCTTAACTTGATTTTCCTTTTCTCTCCCTCTCCAAAAAAGAATATACATTAAAGCTCCCACCGCACAGAATACAAGAATTAGAGTGCCCAAGATAAGAAATATTACCAATGGCATGACCTTGATGCTCTTTTTATTGTGTTTGGTTGGACAACGTGCCAAGCCAGTGACATTACCACACAAGCCTTTGTTATTTTTCAATGATTCAAGAGGAGCCTTGAGAAAGGCTCGATTGTTTGGAAGTGGTCCTTCTAATTGGTTGTATGATATGTTGACAGAAACTAAGCTTGACATCCCATCAAAACTAGATGGAATTTCACCTGAAAAGTTATTGCATGAGAGATTCAACAATTCTAGGCTCTTCAATTCTCCAATGATTGTTGGTATTGGTCCAGTCAAATAATTCCCACTAAGATCAAGAGATTCAAGAGATTGTAATTGGCCAAACTCAGAGGCAATGCTTCCCTCAATTTTATTGTTGCTCAAATTAAATTCCAGTAAATTGGGCAGACTCTCAACTTGTTTTGGTATTTTGCCACTTAACTTATTTCCTGCTAGATCCAAGTGCTGAAGATTATACAATAAACCTATTTCTGAAGGAATGTTTCCTGAAAGATTATTGTTGCTGATCTTGAGTTCAACTAATGATTTCAAATTCCCCAGTTTCATTGGAAGCTTTCCAGTCAAGTGATTTGAGGAAAGGTGAAGTCTACCTAGTTTGTTTGCCTTAGCAACTTCTATGGGTATTTCACCAGAGAGATTATTGTTGGAAACTATAAGGCTAGTAAGGTTGAGGCATTTTCCCCAGTTTGGAGAAATGTGGCCATAAAACTTATTGCCACTTAGATCAACGTATTCCAAGTTTGGATATACTCCAAAATCTTGGGTTATATTTCCTTCCATTTGGTTTTCATCAAGCCTAAGTCTAACAATACTGGAGCAGGTCTTCAAGCTTCTGGGTACTGGACCTGTTAAACGATTGTGATCAGCAGCAAAAAACTTTAGTGACCCACCAGTGCAGATTTCATGTGGCAAATGACCAGTGAAATCATTCTCAGATAATTGCAAGTCATACAAGTTGGTTATGTTATTCATTTCCAGTGGAACACTACCATTAAGTTTGTTTGAGGACAATTCCAGCAGGGTGAGCAATATCAAATTGCCTATTGTGGAAGGAATAGATCCAGACAGATTGTTTCCTTGGAGATTAAGGGAATCCAAATTAACCAAATTTCCTATAGATAGTGGTATTGGTCCAGAAAAAATATTAAAGCACAAGTATAATGTGGTGAGCTTTGTCAAGTTTCCAATGGTGGAAGGAATGGATCCAGAAAGGTAGTTGTGATCAAGTGCAAGTTGATCCAAATTGGCCAAGTTTTCAATGGAAGCAGGAATTGATCCAAAAAGTTCATTTCCATCAAGGTAGAGAAAGGACAAGTTAGACATGTTCCATATGGAGGGTGGAATAGGCCCAGACAGGTAGGTGTTTTCAGAGAGGTAAAGTTGGTTTAAATTTCTCATGTTACTTATTGTTTCAGGTATAGTACCTGAGAGATAGTTTTGTGACAAATCAATAAGTTGGATGTTTACCAACATTCCAATTTCTTTGGGGATGGAACCAAAAAGGTAATTCTGTGCAATACCAAGATACTCCAGTTTACTCAACTTTCCTATCTCTGGAGGAATGCTTCCAGAAAGGTTGTTGCCTCCTAAATCTAAAAATGATAAGTTGGTCAAGTTAACTATAGAATTTGGGATTGCTCCAGATAGATAGCATATGGATAGGTCAAGCTTACTTAAACTCCTCAAAGTCCACATTTCTTTTGGGATGAAACCATCAAAGGAATTTGAATAAAAGTCCAAAGCATTAATCTTGGACATGTTACCAATTTGTGAGGGAATGGTTCCATAAAATTTGTTGTTGGAGATATTTAGGCTGAGTAGGTTGGGGAATGAGGAGAAGCTGAGAGAGTAAAGTGTACCTTTAAGCCCATAATTTGCAACATTTATGCTAGAGATTGACTTGGACTTGTCACATTGAATTCCTTTCCATATGCATGGACTAGTACCTTCCCAAGATGACAAGAGAGCTTGGCTATAGTTATCAAGGCTGGCCTTCCATTTTAATAAAGCAATCACTTCACTGTCTTCTACAAAAGAATCATTCATTGTAAAACCAGCAACGTGGGGTGAAGAGTGTATACGGACACAGAGGGATATGAAGAGAATCACATAGGCAAGGAGGAACCATGATGACTCTCCCTTTTCAAACATGGGCACTTTGGTGTGGATGTTGATTAAAGAAGATTTTTCAATCAAGAATAAGATCTGAAGATGCATGCTAATGGCTGGTCTATGGGATAAGTTAGAAATGGTAGACATTTGTAGTGATAATCATTGACTGAGTCATGGCTTTTGTTTCCAAATTCACTTACTGTGAAGAACATGGTGAAATTGCATCAATGTATCCATATATTTTACCCATTTTTAATATTTAAAAACATTTTAAAAATGTCTTACCATTTGATTTGTTTTGACATGTTAACTTAATTCATACAAGACATTTTAAAATAAATATAAAATATTTAAACAATCATCTACAAAAGTAAAAGAGTACGTATTCAAAAGAGTTTAATATTCAAGCGTTCAAAATGTCAAAACAATTCAATAACTCGAATATTAAACTCTTTTGAATACGTACTCTTTTAAAACATGGTAATATAAGTAATCGCCAGTAAAAATTAATTTAACTATTAACATTAATTCTTTTAAAAAAAGAGGAAAAACAAATATTCATACCGCACGAGATAGGAAAGAAGTTATTCATTGCTAAATAAGAGTGAGAGACAAAAATGAAAAAACCTTAAAAAAGAATAATAAAAGGTTACCTATTTGCAAGCTCAACTATTTTGTTTATTTTTTGGTAGGTAGTCTTCAGTTTCAATTCTGCATGGATGCGTATATTGTTTACTTGACAACGTTGATTGTTCCCAATTTCTCTTCACTAACACCTAAATCGGAAAATTTGTAGTATTTTTCAAATAAAAAAACAAATGCAATAACTCTTTTTTCAAAGTGTCAAACGACGACTCGCTCAAGAAAACCACATTTGCCAGCAGTCTGACATAAAGGTTTTTTCAAACTAAACGTATCCGACTCAATATTTTTCAAAGTCATGTATGGAACATCTCGCAGTTGACCAAAATGAATAAAAACAATGAAATAAACTAATCTTTATTTGATTCATTTGGGCACTTTACATCAACTAGGTATTATGATTAATTAATTAATTAATGAGTAATAAGTGTTTGGTTTATTTAAGATTGAGTTTATATCTTGTGAATGAAAAATATAGATGTCAAAAAGATTTTTCTTAAATAAATTGACTTCGTTCAATTTGAAATAATTGACATATAAAGTAATTTCTCGATACCAGAGGACAGAGGTCTCGAACCAATTTGATTTCTATTGAGCTTATTAAAACAGGGCTTAAGCGGAAATTTCTTTTCAGTCTAAAGGCTTACACAACTAATCGAATCCATTTTAATGTATTAATATATTCTGTGTAGAGGTTATGATTGTAGATTGCGTAAGCATAGATAACACGAGAATTTAAAAACAATAAAATGAACGATATAGAATTCACGCAGAAAAGAGTTGTTCTTAAAACCTTGACTAAAAGCTCGTTCTGGATGCCATAAAATGGAAACCATTTGGCTCATGCTAAAAAAAATTCAGGGCCATCTTGCATTTTGTAGTTTACCATTACATTGCTTATCATGTAAAGATGAATGGTGAATTAGCCTTTCCGCCTTAAAATTGGATCGAGGCAAGCAACCAACCAGCCAGCCAGGCTACAATTTGTAGGGAGAAATGTTTAAGCTAAGAATAGTTTATTTAACATAACAGAGTTAAGGAAAGTAAACTCTGAAAGCTGGTATCTTGATATGTAATTTTCACGGCTATTTGATCTTGATAACTGATGTTGCAAATATGGGAATGTAGTCAAGGTCGAGTCATAATTAAATGTTGCTAATTAACAAACTGCAAAAAGAATAAATCAATCACCATCTTCATACTAAATGTTGGGTGGGGACCGGGGACTCAACAGATTTACGTTTAAGTAAATGGATAAATTTTCAAAAGTCAAATTTACGTCAAAGCAAATGTGATGATTCAATTTGAATATTATATATTGAACATAAAATGCCGTTCAAAATGTTCCTATGCATTTTACCCCTACTAATACCACAAGGCAAGAGCTATAATAATAATAATAATAAAAAAGTTTTGTGCCAGATATCCACAAAGCAGTTATAGATGTTCACCCAGCAGAACTCAAGCCAAACGACTTGACAATTGTGCTCACTCTTTCTGCAAAAGTTCTGGAGGTTATCTTTTTACCTGGCACATGGAATGGGTTTGAAACTGCATCTACATATACAGCATGGAACTTCCTGAAAAACTGTAATACACCACAAGTTAGCTTGGAGAAAATAACATCAAACAGTACATTACATCATAGAAGGTCATATCTCTAGAGTTAGAGTGATGTGACAAAAAGAAAAGAACAGCACCTAAATCCGTGTATTCATACCTCCTAATCCTATAAATCTTACCCATCGGCATTCAATTAACAAGAAAATGCGCATGACATAGGAGGTATCATTACATAGTGATATTAAAAACCCTAAACTTTTAAGCAACTTTAAGGAAATCATATATGGGCTCTTTATACCACTGAAGTCAGAAATAAAACCAATTATTCCATCAATGGAGAAATGACAAAGGGAATCACAAAAATCTCACATTCTTAAGCGAAACATCTATGTTAAAAATAAAAACAAATACTTCAGCTTTTTAATTTTTATTAGGTAAAAATACTACTAAAACAAAAGGATGCCTCGAGAACAAATAAAGCAAGGAAAAACTATCAACATTGAAATCCCCTGAAGATGTGGAAAGCGTCAAAGGCAAACCAGGAAAATAACCCTATGAGAAAGCATGCTAGTCTCTCACCTAAAAATACTGAATCGATTTTATATGATACATGCCAGCATTGCTCTCCTAGCTGAATTTAAATTCAATCACATAATAAGTTAACAGGATCATGATGACTTCAGAGAATATCTAACTGTGGATCTTTCTCTCTACCCCTACATTGAAGATTTAGCATCCAGCAGTGCAGAGGAAGATCTGTACAAGTAGTGAAAGAAGAAAAACAAAGAGAAAAAGATAGTGCAGAGATACCTATCCCAATCCTTCCTTTCCTCTACTCTCTTCCTTCTTTTCCTCTACCCAATTCACTCCCTAGGCTCCCTAATTCTACCCACTTGCCACAGGTACAGGCAGTTATAATTCAGATACCTAAGATACTCTCCCCTTGCATTTTCCCTCATCACCAGTACTGGCTACTAATCCCCTGCCCCTGCTACCTATTCAATTTCTCTTAACGTCCACTTTAGCAACTGGGCCAGACAAAACCAGATTCTACATACAATAGGTAGTAGTACAACAGCAATAGCTACTACCCATTTTAAACATCGTGCTACCATTCACTGCTCATGCTTAAAAAAGCATCAGCATTCCCATTGTGAGAATTGATATGTGCTCCAAGTCTAAAAAATATTGGTTTTCAGTAGGTAAATTTATGACAGATTACTACAGAATAAATTTCCATAAAATATTTAATATCTCAGGATCACAATCTTGGTATCGAAGTAGCACTAGTGCCATCAATCAGTATTTACTTCAATATATATTGCTAAAAGAATTACTTCATGAGTTATCTACTTCTACTAAGAAATGTGAGTATGGATAGTTGTGGGAAGCGAAACTATCTTGTGAGTTATCTACTTCAATATATCATTGCTAAAAAAAACATAGCTGTAGGAAGCGAAACAAAACAATCAATCCATCCATACTCACATTTCTTACATCTGCATCTTTAACATCAAGATCCGTGGTGACCAAGATAAATTTCACCTTTGTATTAGTCAGATATCCATATCTGCAAATCACATCACATTTCGAAACAAAAAAAGGAAAATCCATAAGCTTTCATCATTGGATTATAGATAAATCAAATGAAGTTTTTCTAACAGATAACAAATGGACTCACACTTTGTAATTTTCGATAGGATAAAGCAGTCCCAAAAACGTCTCGTTAAGCATCGGTCCAGACTTTTTGGGATTGTTCACTGCCAAGTAAACAAATTTCATGAGATTAAAAGAAAAAGGAGAAAACCGAAGGGCATCAAATGTCAACCATTTACACCAAAAATAAAATCGCACAGATAAATTTTTTTTTTTAAAAAAAAAAAACCTAGGTTACCAAAGTGAGCATGATGGCATAGTAAACGCACCTCGCTCGTCGACCACATCGAGCGAGCAATGAACGATGTGGTGGAGCTTGAGAGCATCATCGGCCTCCGTGAAGCTCTGAATGTAGAGCGGATTGTTCTGCACAATTTCAGAGGAAATCAGTGGTTAAGTTCAGATCGGCGATAAGCAAGCGGTTATTTTCGCCGGCGACGTTGAAATCGGGAACCGGAAGGTGACGGAGACTCACCTGGTGACCAACGACGGCAACGCAGACGATCATCTTGTTCTCCGGCAGAGTGCCGACGCCGATGAGAGTCTATATTGGTTTGTCTGCACCCGCACCCACCGAATCGATGGATCTAATGAAAAAGGTTGTAAGAGAAAGCAACTAACCGCAGTAGACAGTGTTCTGGGGTGCATGGATCTACTGGAATTAAAATTACACATAATGTAACTCTCTCTCTCGTGCGTTATTTACTTACCTCTCCATTAACCTTTTTAATCTTATCTTTTTTAGTAATTTTCCCCCCTTTTTTTACTTTCTCTTTATTTTCACCTTTGTACAATTTTTTATAATTTAAATTAGATAAAAAGAAAAATTGGTAAAACTTGTGACGTGACATAGAGACAGGAAAAAGTATTTTAAAATTTTATTATAAAATAATATAACATTCTTTGTCAATCTTTTTTATTTTTTATTTTAACTTTGTGATAGAATTGATAAATTGCTGCTGCTTATAGAAAGTGCACGGAAAATCCCATAAACGAGTTAACACTTCGGTAAAGACGTTGAAAACCCATTATGAGTGCGGTGATTTGATATGTTTTCTTTTTCTATATTTTGAGATTTTTAAGATTTTTATTTTAATTCTTTTAAAGATTTTTTTTTTTTATAATTTTAGAGTATGTTTGTTTTGATTTTTAAAAAGAGTATTTTTTGTTTTTAAAAAGAGAAAATGCTCTTAGTCTTTATTTTTGATAGAGTCAATAGTTTTAATTTTTAATGATTATTTAATAATAGCAAAGTTAGTAACGAGATTATTATGTGTTGAATATATATGTAATCACATTAGTGAGAGATATCATATAAAAATATAAAAAATATATTAACTAAAATAAGGAATTCACCAAAATATAAAAATGAAAAATATATTTAATTAGTACATTTTTACAGTTTATAACCGATTGACTAGAGTTTAAGGTTGATAAGTAATACATTCAATTTGCACAAATTTAAGTCAACAAAAAATTAATGAGCTATTTTTCAAATAGAATAAAAAATTATATTTGAATTGAATGTTGTAACAAAAATATAACAAGGAACAATGTATAATTAATTTGCATAAATTAACAAAAGAACGTAAAAATAAATAAATATGATAAGTTATTTTTTATTTAAATAAATAAACAATCAAAACTAGGAATACTACGATCTGTTTGTAGAATTTTAGACCTTTGCCGACGAGAGATTTGGCAGGGTGGGTCTATTGTTGCATTTAGACACATAGCAGATTGGTCACCACGAGGTTTGGTTGTCTTGCATTTGATTGATTCTCATTTCCCACTCGATTGTTTGTAACTGATAGATTGAATATAATTGAAGAATACCTGCCATTTAGTTTTTTAACAACGATTTTAATTTCTATGCTTATATGCTTAATACCAACACAACTCTGCATTTATTTTTTTTGGGTGATCCAAGTGGGAATGAAACTAGAAATGAGTCTGTGGTCTTCAGAAAAAATTTCCATTACCTAGTCATATATATCAAAATCTCAAATAATCCGTGCCTTACACGTCTCACGGTCTCAACCTATATCGGGCAAACTATTACCGCAAAAAGAAATGCAACAATTACCTTAACCTTGTAAACAAAAATTATTACACAATATCACTTCGTGTTTGCCAGTATGTTTATATATTCGTAATATGTGTGTGTACATTTATAAACACATTAAAGCATTCAGAAGGAAATACACATCCCACGCATAAAACGTCCAGGCGATGGGCGTTGATGAATTGGCTTTAAATCAACCATAGGTAGATACTGCATGTGTATTATTTCAACCCGCATCCTCAATAAGGGTTATACAAAATTTTAGTCGTTTTAACTTCAGTTCGTGTAGACTTTTCCTACATTCAATATTGACGTTGATGTTGCTTCCAAAGGTGCGCTGTGGTGGTCAAGCCAGGGCTGTGCATTAATATAATGCAACTGAAGCTAGTTTGGAGACATTTGCCATAAACTTATAAATATTAGCTTGTGTGGATGGCCTAAACCTTCTATGCAAGTTGGGTTTACCTAATACACCTTGGAAGTTGTCAAACTCTGCATGAGAGTGATGATAAAGTTCGTGGTCCTTGGCATCCTTGCTTTTCTCCTATTGTATCTTACGAATAGGTAAGGAAATGGAGTTACAAACTGTTCAACAAACTTTTGCTGAAATAGGTTGTGAACTAGTTTGGAGAAATCCTTTGAACATGTAGAGTGATCATCACAACCCTTTCAATAAACATGCTAAAAGGTACAGCTATTCATCAAACAAAGTGGTCAACTCAAATGTGTCCTGAATAGCAATTCCAATTTTTTCTCCTAAGGATGATTCCTAATTTCACACGTCCCACCCGGGGCAGTTAAAACAATAGGTACACACTGATAAGATGTAGTGTTTAAAGAGTGTTTACAAGTAAAGTTGCCAACTATGAATCTGATTCAACTTGAAAGTGGAAAGCATAGCTTATATTTGGCCCTTTAAAAGTGGTTCAAAGATTAGTCAAAATAGCTTATAAAGTGGCCATGGGATAGAAATTTGTTACTCTATTAATGTCAAGAACATTCTAACTGCACACTAGTACGATTTATAGTAGTCCAGTTTCAACCATTTGAAGGCTATACAGACAAAGTTCCTACTAACTCAAGGTTGGATTCTTGTCAGGCAAGGATAACTATGCAACCTGACTTTCAGACTTCAGTATTTCAATACAAAGGGCTAACAGTGAGTACAGTTAGTCATCCCTTTATCTCTCTAATTCCAAAATATTGAGTCCACGGTTCACTCATTTCTAATTCTACTACATCCTCCACTAGAAGAATTTGGCCCAGCTCATTCCAAATCTGATAGCTGGCAGCAAGAATAACCAACATAAAATGCAACAAAATCCAAGCCCATTACTTGCAGAGGCTAACCAATTAGGAATCAAACCATCTCCCTCTCTCCCAGCCGCCAACCATGTCCACTGAACTATCAAAGTATCACCTAAGAAGCAAAAAAAAAGCTCATAGCATATCTCACATTGTGGGAATCAGAATTCAGTATGTCTCCTCACAAATAATAAACCTAGAAGCCTACTAAAAGCTGTTAAGTCAAAAACCAATTCCTCAAAGCCCTTTATTAATCCAAAAAGTTTCTTCTTATTCGAATTTAATTTCTAAACTGCAACAATTACAAGTTACTTGCCTAATCGTCGTAATTTTAACAAAACATAAAAACCTAACCAACATTACAAACAATTAAAATTCTAATTATCACCCAATAGCTACAATCAAAAAAAGAAACTGAGCATGTACCATTGCCTTTATCGAGTAAAAACATTACTAAAAATCCTCTCGTTATTCCTTTTCAGGTCTAAACCACGAGACCACAAAAACCAAGTATGCAACAAGGTATAAAATATCATCCTCCTCGTAATCGTTATCACAAACAACAATGCAACACATACCGAATCCAATTCATACACCACTCTTGATGATGTTCCTCCTCGCCAAGAACCTAGCGATAGGGGGAGTGAGAGCGACGGTGATAGGAACCCGAACGGGAAACAGAGCCTTGTTGCAGAGGAGAGCGAGGGTGAACGCGCCGCCGGCGGAGGCGGCGAGCTGCGCCGTCCGGTTCTTGGGCGGCGCGGTGGCGTCGTCGACGGAATGGTTAGGGTTGGGATTTTCTTGATCGGAGACAGCGCCCATGTGGAACTTTTCGAGGATGGCTTCGACGTCGACGTTGTTTCTGATAGCGACGTAAAGACCGGTGATGGAAGCTGCGGAAACGCTGAGGTGAACGCCGAGTGCTACTTTGCCGTATTTTTTCATAAGCTCGCGGAATCTACCACCGGCCATTGTGAGTGAGATAGTGTGTTCTGTTTCTTGGAATTGAAACTTGGATTGGTGCTGTTCTGTGTTGTGTTTTTCAGCGAGTATGGGAAGCTGAGAGAGAGTTTGGGAAATGAGAGGAAGAGGTGGCGGTGGTGAAAGGTTTTGCGACGGTTGCGGCGGCGGAGTGTTCTTTAACCGTGACTGGGGTGAGTATTGCCACTCCTGGCTTAGGGTTTTTCTAACTGACCGATGCTATTGCGTTTTGAGCAAAACTATGGAATTTTTTTTTCTTTGGTCGCACTAGTAATATAATATATTTTTAATTTACAAATTAATTCTGTTTAATAATGAGGAGTATACAAAAATATTCACTAATTAATTTAATCTTAAAAATTATTCTTTAATAGACAAGTATGTAATGATTAATCAAATTTAATTTTTTAGTGTATAAAAAAAGGTTTTATTAAAAAATAAATATTTTAATGGTTTTTATTTTCCAAAAAAGGTTCTGTTATATGTTTAGACTAAATTTTTTAATGGTTGTTTTCTTTCCAAAAATAAGGTTTTGTTAAAAAAAAATTATTTTAATGGTTCATATTATTCCTTAATTCGGATTGCTGAATGACAAGGAAAACGGATGAATATTACTATTTGCTTTATAAAATCTCATGTTTATATGTTTAGAATTAATCTCCTAAAAAATGATGAAATATATAAAGTATGAAGATAAAAGTATATGTATTATTAATTTGAAGTAAAATATTTTATAAACTAATGCTATTAAGTACTTCAATTTTATCATTTTATACCATTTTTTAACATGTTCAAACTCATGTTTTTATTATACAAATCATCAAAATAAAATATCAATTTTCAATTAAAAAATATAAAAAATCATTTAACATATTATATAATTTATTCATTAAAAAATCCTTGTAAATACAAAGCTTACCAATAATTTTAGTTTCTCTATCTTGTCTTTGGTGCAATCTTAATCACTTATATTTATATTCTTCATAATATTTTTTTAATAATCAAGATAAGATTCGTAAGTCCAAAATTTCTTCTAATAAATAACGGAGAAGTAATGAAATGTCAAATATTTGTGACATGCATTTCTGTAATAATATAATAAAATACTAAAAATAAAGATGAGTCTCCCTCCAAATAAACCTTTTTGCAAGAACCTATTCTTCTTATTTTTATTAGTTAAAAATACATTTTAAAAAATGGCTATTGTAAAACATTAAGACCTCACTCATTCCGGGTTTCATACATTGACCAAATTTTCTCAATGACTAGAAATAGGATATATTAATTAATTCTGTAGTACTTTTCTATCTGATTTCCTATGCTGAATTTGACTATATATAAGGGACCCAATTAATGATCAGCTTATACAAGTTTTCTGATGAAAACAAAAATTAATGGGTGCTCTTCCAATTGGCACAGGGAAGAATTGGCCAAGATATTTTCAGTATGAAGAGGGAAGGGACACACCAAGTGACACAAGAAGCATTCTTCTCATAATCTTCACTTTGATTGCTCCAGTGACATTTCAAGCTGGTGTGAATCCTCCTGGTGGGGTTTGGCAAGATAGTAGCGATGGACACATTGCAGGTAGAGCAAATATATGCTTCACAAAAACCAGCTTACTATGTCTTCCTTATTTGCAATACTTTGGCTTTCTCTAATTCAATTTTGGTCATTTTGTCACTCACACACAAGTTCCCTTTCCATTTTGAAATATGGGTTGCCACTGTTTTCATGGCTGTGACTTATGGATCAGCAATTTTTGCTATTTCCCCAGAAGAGTCTATTAATTTGCGCTATGTGCTTATCATTGCTGCGGGACCCTTTGCTGTTAGACTTTTGGTTATTCTCTTCAATTTGTTCTTAAGGAAACATGTTGTTCACAATCTACATGCTCAATCAGACACATCGGCTCATGCTTGATGATCTATTTCAACTGCAATAGGGAATTCATTGATTTTATAGTATGAAGAATTGCTTTGCACAAAATCTTTTTTAATATTATTAGTCGTAGGAAAATTACTTAATCTGGAGATATGTAGATTTATAATGAGTTCTTGTGATTACTTTATAAATAATTGTTCTAATTTGTAGCTAAATGGCAGCTGAGTTGAATAGATTGCCTCTTTGTTTTTGGTACTTTTATATTATTGATGAACTCGTGCCATATTAAGAAAGTTATATAGGGTCACTGAAACATAACAACGCGTGAAAAATTGTATTTAGTTAAGATTGAAAAGTTGTATTAACAAAAGAGGTAAACACTAATTCATCCATGAAAATTAAGCATCAAAATGTTAGTGAGGCACAATTATGTTAATACACAATTAAGTGTGTGATGTGAGGCACAATTTTTGCATGTAAGATTATGTTATTAACATTAGCTTTTAAAAAGAGATATCATTTACTTTTTGTCTCTTCCTTTTTTCTTTCTTTTTTCTCAAATCTAAGTATGTTGAAATTAAAACCTCAATCTTCACACCCTTCTTCCCCTCCTAGCTTCACCCTTGAATTAAAGCACCATGAAAATCCAAGACAAAATAAAATTTTATAGTGGTCTACCTGTAGAATAGTCTAAGACAAGATATGAGACGAACGACTCTAAATAAAGGGAGTGATCATTTCATTCAAGAACATGTAAGGTTTTTTATTTACACAAGCTATGATTAAGCATTGAAATGCTTGGTAGATATTAATCTCTTTCTGCCTTTATCGGTCGAACAATCAACATTCTAATAGGAAGAAAAAATAGTTTATTCTACTTGCTAACCAAGCATGGGACAATATTAGAAATAATGATTTTAACTATAAGAAAATGAAAGAAAAGGGAATTTTCTATTTTTAAATTAATAAAGTTATATAATATTTATAAAAAGTTAATAAAATTAAAATATTAAGTTCATGCTAAAATTATTATTTTACTTATTTTATTTTAAAAATTATAAAAAGCAAAAAATAAATTTTCTTTCTTTCTAAAATAACATTTTTAGATACCCTTACCTAATATTTAATTCAAATTTTAATGTGTATATATATATATATATATACAGTAAAATATTAGTAAATAATAGTTTTATTAAAAACTATAGCATTAATATTATCAATATATTGCATCCTATAACTTTTTTAAAAAATAATGTATATAAATTCTTATTATGTATGATTAAATACATATTAAAAAATATATTTAATTAAAAGAAGAGAAAAAAAAAAGAATTTTGTTAAAAGAGAAGAGAAAAGAAGGAAGAAAGAAACTCTAAAATGGGAGAAATGATTTTAACACCCTAAATTGTTTTTTCCTCCTAAATTTTTGAATCAAATGAAAGAAATAATTGAAATATCTTGCTCTCTCTACCTTTGTTTTTGAGCTAAACAAGAAAATTAAATTCTCTTCCTTCTCCTTTCCTTATTACTTTTGAATTCAATGAAAAATTATAATTAAAATTCCTCTCATCTGTTTTAATCGAACATACAATTGAGACCACAGTAAGTTCCAAGGGACGAAAAGGAAGAAAATATGACTTCCATCTTCTGAAATAATGTTATAGACATTGATATATTAGTTATTTGTTATTTTATAAAAAATTAAAAAGAATATTTTTAAAAAATATTTTTTATTTCTTAACTTATATCTTAAAAAACAATGTTATCATTTGTCATGCTTCTATAAAGTCAGATTTTAAGCTTTCTATTGAATAATGTTGTGTTACAAGTTAAATACCAAAAATATTAAAAATTAATAAGTATTTATTATTTTATTCAAATAATTAAGATAAATAATAAATGCTACTTTTATTATTTTTTATCTGTGTACTGATACATCTTTTGAAAATCTTATACACCCTTAATTACTGACGAAATATACATCAATTTACAATTCACACGCTTACATGGAGGAACTTTATCTACAATCTGCAGAAGTTTATTTTATTAATATAGTTTTAGGGTTGGTTTTAAATATATAAAAATAATATTTTTAATTGCTTAAAATCTGTCTAAAAATTAAGGTTAATATTTTTCTTATTGATCTATTTTCAAAAGGTAAATCCAAACAGTGAATAATTGCAACCAACTAATTCTGGTTGTCCATAATTGCACACCTCTGAAGAATTAGCACAACTGTCAATTAGCACACTGTGTGGTTCCTAGGACAATGCAAAAACTAAAATAAAAAAACAGTTACATTAAATAGTACTATGAACATCATTCTTTTGTCTCCTCATGATCAAATTGGCCGTGTACTCACCGCATAAAATTTTGACCAAAATGTTGTTACTAATTTTCGCTTAGATCTAATAACAATACAATTGCAAATGGTCCAAAGAATCCAAAGGTGGATAAAAAGAACTGTTCTCAACCATACAAAGAAACAATAAATTATTATTTTAATTACTAAAATACCATACTATTCTAGCCAGACTGTAAAGAAGAGACAATTATCTGTAGTTCTGTACAATGCCAAATAATATAACCAGACTTCAGACATAAAAGAGTAAAATATAAAATTGGGAAAGAAAAAAAAAAACACAAAGAAGTAAGAGTCCACTAGGAAAATAATTTAATTTGCAAGTCTGTGAAAGGTTCACTACATCTACAGCTAGATTACATGCATCGGGAAAAATGCAAGAAATCAAACAGCTAATTGTTGTTGCTTTTGATGGGAAGAAGATTCATCCTCATTGAAGCATAAATGGGCCTTCAGTGATTTTCCTAAAGTTAGAGAAGAATCTGCAAAATTTAGTGGTTGCATCAGCAGCATTTCTCTTTGTAGATGGGCACAGTAGGCTTGGAAGGTGCCAGGGGTTACATTTAAATGGAAACCCAAACCAAAGAGGAAGTCCAACTCAAGAAAGTTCATCTCGATTGTGGTGATTCCTCCAACTTTTGCATAGTAAGCATTATTGTAGTACCTAAGGATTTCATGAGAGAGAAAATTGAAGACTTTGCTGAATGGCATGTAAATTTTTTAAATTAAAACAAGCAAGTCAATCAGCGCAGAGTTTGGCATTTTCCTTTTGTCTCATGACTGCTGCTTACACGTTAAAAATTTTATAAACATAATAAATCTAATATAAAAACTACAGCTAATAGCTAATAATGAAAATAAATGTGAATTTATAATTATTTAAACGTAAATTCAAGCATGTGCTTAAAATTTTCAAGTCAAAATAAGCAAGTCAATCAGCAATAGAGTCTGGCATTTAAACTTTTGTTTATGATCTATGTTTACATGATTT